CCCGCGTGGTCACCGTCAAAACGGCGGCCTCGGAGTACACGCGAGCTATCGGCAAGATCTGCCTCTTGCCTGTCGATTGCGAACCGATCCCTTCTCCGACATCTGCCTAAATTCAACTCGACGCGGATGAATTTCCCTTCCTCCGCATTAATCTTAAGGCATTCGATTGCACCGGACCCTGTTTTGAAGCCTCCGCTTCAAGGCGGGCGGTATGTTCGCGACGCGAGCGAAAAACCGATCAAAGATTCGTCGCGATGAGAAATCGACACCGTCACGTATCTTTCACGTGTCCAGGTGTTCCGCGGCGCGTGCCAGATAAGCCGTAATAAACACAGATCGCTTTCGGTTGTCATAGCAATTGCGGATAAACAGTGTTTCCGCGAATCGAAGGCCGGCACGCGCCGCGGAGCTCTACATAGCGTGAGAAATCTCCTTTTAAGGAAATTTCGGCACGCGACCAGCGATCACCGTCTGCGCTGGACCAATCAACGGGTGCCAGAGAGGAAGAAAAGTGGGCTTGTTCCACACGGCAATTAGCCACATTTTACAGAAGGGTCACAGTCGAGCTACCGAGGAGCGAACAGCCAGACGTCGGAAGAGTCGGAGCAATATCTCGCATAAGGTCGTACCGCGTAGTCGGCTACATTCGATTCTTTACTGCAAAACGGCTCTCTTAGTCTTATCTGAATTCCGAATTCGCGGAATTTCCGTTCTCATTTCTCTGAATTGCCGGTTGCCGTCGGCGACCGCGCTCTCGCGCAGCTCCGGATCGGATTGCTCCGCTCTCATAGCCGTTGGCCGTTGCGATCGGTGTCTGCCTTGGCTGTGTGCCTTTTCATACTTGTTCTGTACGTTCGAGTAACTTCGCGCGCGCTTGAAGTTGTAATTTCGTGTTTGTATCGTCTTGCGTTAATGTGCCGCGGAATCTCGAAGATAATTTCGGGACAGAGTCAGGGGTCACCGCGAGTCAAGATCTCCGTCGTCCGCGTCAAGATCTCCGTCGGCCGGGCATCCGTTGGATGCTCAACAAGATTTCCGTCGTTGTTGTGTGACCGAAATTAGACTCTGAAAGAAGATTTCCGCTCCACCACCTGATCAATTCGAGACAACCGCGGCGTAAAATTATCGAGTGTTAAAATCAAGTTAATAAAATCAAGTTGAACCACTCCGATCTGAATCAATTTCGCCTCCCTTTCCTCACGCCGCTGGACCTCGTGCGAGGTCGATCCGGTGAGCGTCATTCTCTCCGCTTATTAGAGAGAATTCGCTACAAAGAAAATTTGGTCCCTCGAGCCGGATCAACTTGCGTGAGTAAAAGGGAAAGGGAGACCGATCGCACCTTGCAAATTGACGGAGCTGCTGCAACGACAGCAGCAATTATGCCGATCAATCGCTCGATACCTCGATAATTTCAAGAAGATCGGACGAGCCAATCTGACGGCCGCGAAGGTGCGATCTCGAATTTCGGCTCTGAAAGATCTCTGGATCCAGTTCCAAGACGGGCATGCCTCTCTGGTGAACTCGACTCCGCTCCCCGCGCAGAAGACGATGGACTATTTCACCGAGCATCGCTACGACGAGACGGAGGACACTTATCGCGCAGCATTGGACCACATGTCGGAGGAGCTGGAAGAGTTGGATCCACCTGTAAGTCCGTCTCACGATTCTTCGCACCTTCTGCATAATCGGTCGCAAGTTTCAGCTGTTTCGCTCGCGCAACTTCCGCCGATTCGTCTTCCGCCTTTCGACGGTAATTTAAATGAGTGGGAGTCTTTTCGCGATCGATTTTCTTCATTAATTATCCAAAATCAAGAGTTAAATAATTTTTCTCGCATGCACTTTCTCACTTCGAGCCTTCGGGGTCAAGCTCTGGACTGCGTCAGTAATTTATCGATAACTGCTTCGAACTTCGAAGTCGCATGGCATACGTTAGTCGCGCGCTATGAGGACAAGAGCCGCTTGTTACGAGTCCATCTCTCGGCTTTGCTCAACCTTCCGTCGGTCTCTCGCGAATCCGCTGCCGAAATTCAAGTGTTGCGCGATCGAGCTCACATCGCCGTCGCATCGTTGACTCGGCTCGCGCGCTCGCCGGCGGAGCTTTGGAACGACATTTTAGTCTACCTCGTAGTCCAGAAGCTCGACGCGGTATCACGAAAGGCGTGGAGACTGAAAACGGCGGATCAGGACGACCTTCCGTCCTTTTCCGAATTGGAGAAATTTCTCGCTAGCCAATCGCGCGTTCTCGACGATGTATCTGGTGTCTCCGTCGCGCGGGCTGGAGATCGGCGTGCATCGTCTACTAGAATTTCTGTCGCGACCGCGTCAACGTCATCGGGATCAATCTGTCCGCTCTGTAAAGCGCACCATTATTTTAGTTCGTGTCCGATATTTGAAAGGGCGAGTCCGGTTCAGCGTCGTGATCTCGTGAAAAAGCACGGGCGTTGCTTTAACTGTTTAAGTCAACATCACTCAGTTCGATCGTGCTCCAGTAAATACTCATGTCGCTCCTGTCACGAGCGACATCATTCTCTGTTGCACACGAGCTCGCGAGCTGAACCCTCTTTATCAAATGACCCGCCCGGTCAACAAGCGAAAACGCGCGCGGAGAATAAACTCGAGGTGAGCTCGATGTTAGCCTCTCCGATGAGAGCGAAACCATCACGGATTATTTTAGCGACAGCTCGCGTAAGAGTTGGCGTGGTCGAAGGTCGCTCGGTAGAAATACGAGCCTTGTTAGATCAGGGCTCCGAAATGTCCTTTATATCTGAATACCTAGCTCAAGTGTTACGGGTTAAACGCATACGAATGCCGACGTCGGTTTCTGCCGTCGGTTGCGTGGATGCCGGGACCTTCAAGTACGCCGCTCGAATCTGTGTCTCTCATCGCGATGTAAGCTCTCCGACCGTAAACACTACCGCTTTAATTTTAAGTTCTTTAACCGCGTACGCTCCGCAAAGCGATGCGGATATCGCCTCGTTCTCTCATTTGGCGGACCTTGCATTTGCGGATCCGGATCCAACGAGCAAGGAGCCTATTCACCTCATTCTCGGCGCGGATCTGTATGGGGAGGTCATTCTCGGGGGCTTGCGCAAGGGTTCACTCGGCGAGCCTATCGCGCAAGATTCAATATTCGGATGGGTCATATCGGGACCACTCTCTCCATCCTCTCCCGCGTCACCTCCTTCACCTCCGCCTCCTGGAGATGCTCGGATGTCGCATCACGTCTCCGTTCATCATTGTCTCAACGCTACATCATTGGAGGACGAAATCAGACGATTTTGGGAAATTGAGGACTTTCCCACGCATTTAATTGCCACGCCTGACGACGAGAAGTGCGAAACGCATTTTCGCTCTACACACACGCGTACGTCAACGGGGCGTTATATCGTCAGGTTGCCGTTTCGCCGTGATCCTCCCATTGAAATCGGGGAGTCTCGCCAACGAGCCGAACAACGGCTGAACGCGCTTTTTCGACGGTTTGGTGCAAATCCGAAGCAGTTCGCTGAATATCAGGCATTTATTCGGGAGTATGAGCGTCTCGGTCATTTGCGTAAACTGCCTGCCGCCGAGGACCGCCCGGATCCGTGTGTCTATCTCCCTCACCATCCCGTTTTCCGTGATTCCAGCAGCACCACACGTCTGCGTGTCGTGTTCGACGCGTCGAGTCTCACGTCGAACGGCTCGAGTCTCAATAATCACCTTTTAACAGGGCCTAAACTTCAAACGGATTTATCCGCCGTGATATTGCGTTGGCGTCAGTTTCGCTTTGTGTATGCAGCCGACATCGCGAAGATGTACAGGCAGATTCTCGTAGACGACCGCGATCTTAATTTTCAAAGAATTTTGTGGCGTGACTCTTCCCGTGAATCCGCGAGCGACTATCAATTACTCACAGTCACTTACGGGATGGCGTGTGCACCCTTTCTCGCGTTACGCGTTATTCAGCAATTAGCTCAGGACGAAGGGGAACGGTATCCCATGGCGGTGCCCATTTTGCAAGAGCATATTTACGTCGACGACGTGCTGTTCGGTCACGACGACTTGAACGCTCTACGTGCCACGCGAGATCAATTAATTTCATTATTACGTTGCGGCGGGTTCGAACTTCGGAAATGGGCAGCCAATTCAGCAGCTCTCCTTTTTGATATTGATGACTCAGAGCACGGAACCGCGTGCGACAAATCCTTGTCTCACTCTGACAATCTCAATATCCTCGGCGTTGAATGGAATCCAGTCCTCGATTCCTTTCAGATTCGGGTGTCCATGTCCGATGACCTTCCCCGCACCAAGCGTTCCATCCTTGCCGCCATCGCTCGATTATACGATCCTCTCGGATGGGTCACCCCCGTGATTCTCTCTGCCAAAGTTTTGATGCAGACACTGTGGAGAGACAGACTTTCATGGGACGAGCCGATTCCGCCCTCGCTATCCTGTCGCTGGCAACAAATCTGCGACGGGATTTCGCGGTTGAGTAACCTGAGACTGCCGCGGTGGTCCGGGTTCACCGCTGATTGTGAGCTCGAGCTCCACGGATTCGCGGATGCCTCAACCGTCGCATATGCTGCCGCCGTGTATTTAAAGGTCGTCGATTCCTCTCAGACCGTCACTATCAGCCTATTACTAGGTAAATCGAGAGTTGCTCCTCTGAAGCCGCTCAGCATACCTCGATTAGAATTGTTGGGCGCGGCGCTGCTCGCTCGGCTCATCAATCTCGTTAAAACGACTCTCGCAATAAACGATCTTCCGTGTTTCTGTTGGTCCGATTCCACGGTCGTACTGGCCTGGCTCCGCCAACATCCTTCCCGGTGGAAGACGTTCGTTGCCAATCGTGTAGCTGACATCCAGCAGCGTCTTCCAGGGACGGAGTGGAGGTACGTCGCGACGGCTGACAACCCTGCGGATTGCGCTTCGCGTGGTCTGTTGGGCGACGATCTCCTTTCCCATCCATTATGGTGGCACGGGCCTAGTTGGTTGGCATCTCCGAGCAACCAATGGCCGCGTTCCATGGCGTTGCCTCCGGATTCGGCTTCTCTCGAAACAAACGTGCACTCATTCTCCTCCTCAACGGCTCCGCCGTCCTCTGACGACTGGGACTTGAGGGAGAAATATTCCTCATGGCCGAAGCTCCTCCGCGTGACTTCGTACGTCCTTCGTTTTATAGCGCGGTGTCGAAGGCCCGCTCAACAGACTGAAGTCGCAGATCAAATCCAGCCTTTCTTATCCGCACGGGAGTTCGAAGCCGCTCGGATATTTTGGCTCCGACGGATTCAGCACGAGCTTTTCGCTGCGGAGATCCGCGATCTGGAGCAGCAGCGCCGATTGTCACGAAAGAGTTCCATTCTCTCTCTCGCACCGTTTCTTGATCGCGACGGGTTGCTGCGAGTTGGCGGGCGGCTTCAGCGCGCCTGTTTCCCATCGATCTCTCGACATCCGATCCTGCTAGCCGATCATCCTCTCGTAAAGTTAATCGTCAAACAAACTCATTTGCGAGGATTGCATGCCGGCTTGCAACTTACTTTGTCCATTTTGCGACGGGAATTCTGGGTCCTTCGCGCGCGGACCATCGCTAAGGCCATCATACACAAGTGCATCGCATGCACACGCGAACGAGCCACTGTTCCGACTCAGCTTATGGGAAGCCTCCCCGCAATACGTGTGACGGCCCCTCCTCGCAGTTTTACTCACTGCGGCCTTGACTACGCCGGGCCCGTCTCTGTTCGCGCCTCCGCGGGACGCGGGATCACTTCGCGAAAGGCCTACATAGCTCTATTCGTTTGCTTGTCGTCACGCGCTATTCATTTGGAGCTTGTCTCCGATTATTCGTCTCACGCGTTCCTCAACGCCTATACGCGGTTCTGCGCTCGTCGCGGGCTTCCACGATCCATTTATTCGGACAATGGTACAACCTTTGTCGGGGCTTCTCGCGAACTTCGAGCCGCGTACCGCTCCGCCGTTCAAGATCCAAACTTTCAGAATCGCGTCGCATCGGATGAGGTGAATTGGCAATTCATTCCGCCGTCCGCTCCGCATTTCGGTGGGATGTGGGAGGCCGGTGTTAAAAGTGTTAAACACCACTTGCGGCGGGTGCTCGGTACGCACACATTAACATTCGAAGAGTTTACCACGCTCTTGTGTAAAATTGAAGCTTGCTTGAATTCGCGCCCGCTTGCTCCTCTATCGGATTCGCTCGACGATTGCAACTGCTTGACTCCAGGGCATTTCTTGATCGGGTCAGCCCTCACGACGAGCCCCGAACCAACGTTGCTTCATCTGAACGAAAATCGGTTGTCTCGGTGGCAACTAATCAGACAGATGACAGAGCGCTTTTGGCGTTTGTGGGGCAGCGATTATATTAACACGTTGCAACAGAGAAGCAAGTGGCGTAGAGAGCAAGCTTCGATACCGATCGGTAAACTCGTACTTATTCGAAACTCGAATCTCCCGCCGAGTAAGTGGGAACTCGGACGTATCGTTCAGTGTCATCCGGGCACTGACGGGTTGACCCGCGTGGTCACCGTCAAAACGGCGGCCTCGGAGTACACGCGAGCTATCGGCAAGATCTGCCTCTTGCCTGTCGATTGCGAACCGATACCTTCTCCGACATCTGCCTAAATTCAACTCGACGCGGATGAATTTCCCTTCCTCCGCATTAATCTTAAGGCATTCGATTGCACCGGACCCTGTTTTGAAGCCTCCGCTTCAAGGCGGGCGGTATGTTCGCGACGCGAGCGAAAAACCGATCGAAGATTCGTCGCGATGAGAGATCGACACCGTCACGTATCTTTCACGTGTCCAGGTGTTCCGCGGCGCGTGCCAGATAAGCCGTAATAAACACAGATCGCTTTCGGTTGTCATAGCAATTGCGGATAAACAGTGTTTCCGCGAATCGAAGGCCGGCACGCGCCGCGGAGCTCTACATAGCGTGAGAAATCTCCTTTTAAGGAAATTTCGGCACGCGACCAGCGATCACCGTCTGCGCTGGACCAATCAACGGGTGCCAGAGAGGAAGAAAAGTGGGCTTGTTCCACACGGCAATTAGCCACATTTTACAGAAGGGTCACAGTCGAGCTACCGAGGAGCGAACAGCCAGACGTCGGAAGAGTCGGAGCAATATCTCGCTTAAGGTCGTACCGCGTAGTCGGCTACATTCGATTCTTTACTGCAAAACGGCTCTCTTAGTCTTATCTGAATTCCGAATTCGCGGAATTTCCGTTCTCATTTCTCTGAATTGCCGGTTGCCGTCGGCGACCGCGCTCTCGCGCAGCTCCGGATCGGATTGCTCCGCTCTCATAGCCGTTGGCCGTTGCGATCGGTGTCTGCCTTGGCTGTGTGCCTTTTCATACTTGTTCTGTACGTTCGAGTAACTTCGCGCGCGCTTGAAGTTGTAATTTCGTGTTTGTATCGTCTTGCGTTAATGTGCCGCGGAATCTCGAAGATAATTTCGGGACAGAGTCAGGGGTCACCGCGAGTCAAGATCTCCGTCGTCCGCGTCAAGATCTCCGTCGGCCGGGCATCCGTTGGATGCTCAACAAGATTTCCGTCGTTGTTGTGTGACCGAAATTAGACTCTGAAAGAAGATTTCCGCTCCACCACCTGATCAATTCGAGACAACCGCGGCGTAAAATTATCGAGTGTTAAAATCAAGTTAATAAAATCAAGTTGAACCACTCCGATCTGAATCAATTTCGCCTCCTTTTCCTCACGCCGCTGGACCTCGTGCGAGGTCGATCCGGTGAGCGTCATTCTCTCCGCTCATTAGAGAGAATTCGCTACAATATCTGATCCGTCTAAACGCGATACTGTATTATGACTACGATAATTTCTCAGCAATAGAATATTCTCTATTGCTGAGCGTCCGATAATTTGCGATAATAATTCGGCATCACCGAAGCACGAGAGTGCGATTCACCTGAGCAGAGCTTCGCTCGTTGTCGTCCTCTGCATCCTCCCTCGATGTCCTCCGCTCCTCGTCCTGGTGACCGGCAAGGGGCGTCGAGGGGCACAAAATTCGGGACGCGCTGACCTTCGCATCTGCTCTGCTCGCAAAAATCGCTTCTTCGCTTTGTTCTAAATTTTGCACAACAAACAATCCGACGGAACGCGATATTCGGCAAGGTCTCGAAAACCGTTAGCGACACGGCACGCGATAAACATTCTCTACACTAATCGGTACGGGGTTTTTGAGACGGGCGCCTCCACGGCTGCCACGTCACAAAGTATACTTGGGCCTTTCTTTAATGACGGCAACCTCACAGCTCAAAAATATGATAATATGCTTCGAGATGAGATTGTGCCGGCAATACAAACTATCGCTGATCCAAACCTTAACGATGTTTGGTTCCAACAGGATGGGGCACCGGCTCACTACGCTTTACAAGTACGACGATGTTTGGACGAATTTTTCCCCAATGGATGGATAGGAAGGAGAGGTCCAATCGAGTGGCCACCTCGGTCACCTGATTTGGCGCCTCTTGACTATTTCTTTTGGGGATATTTAAAAAGTAAGGTCTACATCACCAAACCTAACAATCCTGATGATTTGCGTCGCCGAATAGTTGATGAGACGAGATACATACCACAGGAATAC